TCAGCAGGGAATTTCAGTAGCACAGGAGGCCACTACTTTTTAATTCAAAGGGAAAAGTCCTACAGAATTATGTGATATTTCAGTGCAGGACTTACTGGATAGAATTTCTGTAATTTTTCCTGTGTAGAAGTAGTTCAAATTGGATATCTCATTAGTTCCTTGTTGTCCTAAAATTCCATGTTTTTGTTAATGTTCCCTGATACAATGTCACAGGTGCCAGGATCCCATGAGAGAGTAGGGTTATCTTCAGAGCTCCCAGCAACTGAGAGAGCGCATTTTGAAGATAAATTTAAACAGATGTCTGGCCACAAAGTCCAGGTAAATTCCAGGACAGTGATTCCAAAATTTTATAGTTAAAAAAAAAAAAAAAAGTCACTGAAATACATGTTAGAACTGCTGAGATTCCAGACTTAGTTGGAAGCAGCACTGTATGCTGTGCCCTGTGGGTTTTTTTATTTTGTTTTTGTTTGTTAAGAGCTGGTTCAATTACTGCAGGCTACCACATTTTGCAAATCAGTAGCACATTTCTGGAGTTTTAAAAAGTTTGTGATAGAACACAAATATTTCAAAGCCTAGTCTGATGGCCCTTTAATGTATCTGTTCTATATAGTACTCATGAGGATCTAATTAACAAGTATATTTAATGTAATTATAGTACAGAGTCTCTTGTCTTATTAGAGAACCCATTTCTGCTCCTTAGCAAAGTCCTTGAAAGTCTGTTGAATGTTTTTCTACATAGTGACCCAAACTGTGGTGTAACTAAATTATATCTGGAGTACACTTTGGGGTTTTTTTATTGGGATTTTTTTGTTGTTTTTTGTAGTTATAGCTGTGTATTAAGGTCATTTCTCCTGCCTCGTCCCGAAAGTGTTTTGGTAACATGCTAAAGACATTTCTTAAACATGAGGTTTCACCCTGCTGTCAAGCAGTAATTGATGATATAGTATAAGTCAGTGATACATTGTTAACTTAGCAACTTTCCAAGACTTAATCTACTCTTTTCTATTAATGTTATTTTTGTTTTGTTTTACTGCAACGATGTCTTTGTGCAATACCCTATTTTTATTTCCAGTAAATATTTCAGAGGAATCTAAGAATTCCATGCAATATCAAATATTATTCTATATTGTGTATTCTAATCGGTTCATAGGTTTCATTTATGAATGCTTTCATAAAGACTCTTCTAGACTAAACAAAAAGGTTTTTCTTACTGTCCCTCATTAACTAGCAGTGTTTTCAATCATTGAAATGTTTATTTTTTTACTTTTACTTTGGAAAAGTCTTAAAAATAGAATCCTAACCAAAACCTAAATCTATTACAATTTTTTTTTGCTTTCTCTAATTGAATTTTAATTAGGCATTGTCTGTGAACTGTGTAAAGTGATGTTAAATTTTTTAGAAACACTAACCAGACTGGTGGTTGCTGTGCTTGAACCATTAATATCTACTCCAAAAACTCTCATGTTTGACATGAAATCACACCAAACCTATCCATCCAACTTTAAATTGGGAACAGTATCATACACAACTTGATGTGTTCCTTGGCTGTGCCAGTCTGCAAAAGCACCAACAGCACGTAGAATGAATAATGTCCTTTATTTTTCAATTTGGGAGAGAAGGATAAGAAGCAAAACAACCAGAACAGCTGCATTCTTTTCGTGCAGCTGGACTGTGGTTCCCATTCTGAATAACAACAGTCTTGACTTCCCTCCGATAAGATAAAAATGATGGACGGACAAATCTTTTACCTTTTTTGCTAATTAACTTGTACTGTAAGTTTCCTCCACTTAGTTACTTAACCATATGGCCGTGTTGCCGTGCAAATCTTTTCATTGTAACTGGATGAAGACGGTATATGGAAAATGCTGAGCTGTCTGATAAACTTTTCTGAAATGCATAGCATTTCTGTGCAAAAGTAATTGAATCACAAATTTCCATTGAATTTCTGTACATTTACCCAAGGAATACACAGCATTAGCGCTTTCTGATAATGGATCTGTATGATCTAAAACATCTAAGATGGAAATTCTGATGCTATGCTGTGAAGCTGATTCTCAGGTGTTTACTTTCACTTGTTAGCCTTCAGAAGCCTCTAGTGATGCAGTTAACTTGCCTCAGACTGTACATATCCAACCGCAACCTGAAGGAGCAGAAAATCAGAAAGAGTTGCCAGAATGGAGCGAGAAAGTTGCCCATGGAATCTTGTCAGGTACTGTTGTAATAAGAGGATTGTGTTGAGTATAAACCTCTGTGAGTAACACTTAAGCAGTTATTTTCACCTAAATGCATGTGTGCTGGTAGAAGCTGAGTGGTCAGAAGTAGTTGTTCACCAATTCCAGCTATGATCATAGAATCATAGAATGGTTTGGCTTAGAAGGGACCTTAAAGATCATCTAGTTCCAACCCCCTGCCATAGGCAGGAAAACCCTCCACTAGACCATGTTGCCCAAAACCCCC